TGACAACATGGCCAGTCGAGTTTGACCACAGACGCATTAACATTATGTTTAGGCCTCTCATACTTAGTTCTAAATCGTAATAATTGATTGCAAAGTGCACCACATATACTGTTGATTTGTTCGACGCTATGAGCCGCGTACATTGAATAGAATTATCACAAAACTACCTGATGTAACCTCAGTTTGATCTCCGATGTGCGTGAGCATGTGAAGTCGCTTTAGTTTTCGACAACAACAACGACCTACTTGTCTTTTGACCGGTGCTTGGACGTAAGATATCTGTACACAGAACACAAATTCGCCTCAATCTACCAAATCCAAATGATGGGGATTAGATGCAAGACACATTTAAGTCTATAATACAATGGAAGTGACTACGTTTCAGGTGCAAAGCATATTTCGATAATAAACCGGACTCGACGGGTATCTGCTGCCCGGCTTTTCAATGTTCTCACATTGAAAGTGCATCGACACAAGCACAAGAGGACAAAGGACTATGCATTCATTCACGACCTTATTTAGATAGCTTTCAGTTAAATATGAATGTCCAGTCAAAGCAGAGTCACCTCTGCATCTAACTATTGCAATATGTCTCTTCGCAGTGCGCTTTCACTCGTTAAGCCGCGGTTTCAAATGAACATTGCAAGCATCATTGAGAAAGAAGCTCAAGCTTCAGCTCAGTCTACGTTTCAGCCCGATGAGCAATATTGCTCTGAAGAGCTTATACAATCCGCGTATCAGCATGGCATTGTTGTGGACAACGAGTACTTCTCTGGTTGGGACCAAGCTTGGCTCCATATGCGACGATTTGCTTTGCAAGCAGGATTCGACTTGAAATGTCAAGGCAATGGACATCATAAAACATGGCTATGTAAGTCCCATGAGGCTTGTAACTTTAAAGTTACTGCATGCAAGCATAAGTCAGGAAAGGTATGAATATTAGTCGTCCTATTCAACTCATTATCATATTATAGATTCGCATTACTAAAGTTATCCTATCTCATTGCCACGAGCTTCACATTTCACAAAAAAGACGGCAATTGGCTATACAGCAAGAGAACTGTAGAGTTGGTGACATCGATGACATGATCGCAATGATAAGTGCCGATGAGCCCAGTTCGACTATGTTTACACCTGATGACGAAGGCTCTCATCAACATGAAAAAATTAAACACCAGCGAAATAGGACCCTTACAACAGATATTGTACAACCACGTCCTGTCTTTGATTCATTCATAATAATTTCGTAGGCTGCACAAGCTGTGATAGAGTTTATCGAACGAATTGAATGGCATGACATCGGGGAGGAGCTTGTGTCAACGAGTCGTGTCTGGGAGGCTGTGCTGAAGTCGTTTGGAATTACATTGCCATCGTCAAACGAGTCACGTGTAAAAAGTATGGTGGAATCTATCATTTGGGGAACTGTCAGTTCAGCATTTGCAAGCCTCGAGTCGTATCTGCATAAACTAGTACTTGAAAATCCACGTAAGTCAGTCTTGCGTTCTATTAACATTCTTTAATTACATGGATTAGAAAGCACTTCTCACTTTGAATCACAGTCAGGCAGATATTTACGTTGTTTTTACTCGCCTGCTTCATCAATTGTTCGCAGTTCAGCAAGCCACTAGTTGTACTTGATGGGTGTCATATGAAAGGGTTGTTTGCTGGATCTGGCGTCTATCTAGCCGCAACCCTGAAGGATGGGGCAAATTACAATCTCCTTGTAGCGATGGCTGTTGTCGACAAGGAAAATTATGACAATTGGACGTGGTTTTTAACATGCTTGAGACACAGTCGTCTTCAGCTACCTGACAATGTTCTATTCATTTCGGATCGGCAAAAAGGTATAACATAAATTTTTAATTAGACGTAGCGATCAACAATTGTAGGGCTAATATCTGCCGTCAAAACGGTGTTTCCTCATGCAGGTCATCGATATTGTATGTGGCATATTGTGTTGAATATTCGGGCTATGCGAGTGAAGCTAAACGATGAAGATAGAATTAAAATCTATAGGGGCTGACGCCAACACAGATATCGAGACACAGGATGCCATGACAGATCTTCAGAAGTCGCATCCCGTGGCTTGGAAATTTTTGAATGATCTGAAACCGGGCAGAGAAAGCTGGTGCCAATATGCTATTGTAAATAGCGGATATCCTACATTTGGGACAAAAACCTCCAATGCATCTGAGCAGACTAACGCATGGCTCGGTATCCTTCTTCGGGCATCCGACCCCGTGACAGCGTTCTACATGTACATGGTGAAGTTACTTGACCGTTTTAAAAAAATGCGGGATGTTTACAGAGGTCAGTCGTCACAAGCTCTCATTAAATCTGTCCAGATGGAGTATAATAAGCTAAAGGAAGTCGCAAAAGAAACCACAGTAAGAATCACTGCTTACACACTCCTCATGAATATTTAGGTTATGGAAAATAGTTTAAGTGCTGATGACGCTCCAAGTCGCAAATTTCTTGTCTTTCGTGCATCCCAGAAAGGATTATTGCATCGACGAACTCACACGGTGAACTTGTTCAATTTCTCTTGTACATGTGGACGATGGCAAAACTCATTGATTCCTTGCATCCATGCAATTGCTACACTCGCTGACTTTAGTAATGAACTGCAAACGTATGATTCTTAACTCCTCGTCATAGGATTCCCAGTCTATTATTCTGTCGGTGTGCAGCAAGCGCTTTACGCGCGTAATGTTACACCTTCACTTCCACGCAGTCTTGAATATGACTTCGAAACAAAGAAACCACTGAAACTCGAATTCACAAAACGGTATATACTTGCCTAATTGATTCTCATGACGGTTTGATAGAGAAAGAGGCAGACCCAAAACAAAGCGCTTTAAATCAATTGGCGAATGATTCAACTCAAAATGGATTTAAGGTCGAGATATCTTAATTCTGTTCCTAGTGATTAAAGAATTTGACTGGTTTATGCAATATTCAAGGCAATAGCACCTATTCGACAAACTTTGAAGCCTAGATTTTGGTCTGTAGCGTACGCATTTCCTTTTCACTCGTTTCGTCCATGTAAATTGGTCATGGTCATCGTGTGCTCGTAGATTGTACACTCATAATCGAAGCGCTGTCTTGATGGCGTCTGTGCGACAAATGATGCGATGTTTAGCTTCGTTAAGTCATTCAAAACATGGACAAAAGACAGAGAGATATCGCCCGTCAGCATGGTGAATGTGTTGGGTCTACTTGTGCAACGTACAAACAACAACACAATTTCACCGACTCTCATTTGTCACACTGAGTGTCTTTCCAAGGGATATTATCCGGAATATGTGTCCTTTATGGAATTAACTCCAAAAATGTGCCGAATCTCGAGTTGCCGTTTTGACATTTCCCATGAAATTCAATCCAAACAAAAGCTCAAGCTGCACAAGTGTTTTCACTGATGAAAACGCACTGTCAGCAACAATTGTACGACCTGTGCCTTTGAATCGCTCTGAGAGTCTCAATACTATAGCTGTGCCTTCACCAAACTCCTACCAAAATGGCTTTTGGCGTTGTCGTTGGACACCCTCAACTATTTCAAGACCCAGAACGATTCCAGTGTTCCCATCAACGATAGCTTTCAACTCAACACCACAACTCACTGGCTTTCTGGGTATCTTCGTTGCGTGCGGGATCCCTTTGTGATGATATCTTTGCTCCACACCACTCCAACCAACCATACACTCGTCAATAACAAGCAAATCGCCAGGGTTTAAGACTTCTGCTCGTCGACGATTGAATGCATCAAGGAATGGACGGATAAAAGACCAAGGATCGTCTGAAATAGAGCCTGGATCGGTAAAATAAATTGCATTTTGTATTTGTTCAAAGCGATTCCTCTTCATATCAAATCGTTCACCAAAGCACTTTGGTTGCTCCACTCGACCGGGCACTGCATCATTGTTCCAATAACTCTTCAGACCACCCCGAACAGGTTCCAACGTCATGGCAAGTCGAATACCCAACCACTTCAAGAATTCTGCTTCAGTTAAACGTTTGTGCTTTCGATCGATCAAAACTTCATTGGTAAATCCAAGCATTGATTTCATTGACGCCATGGGATAGAAAAGCATAAAGTATTTAAGAATTGTGGGCTCGCCGAGTTGCAAATTCTTGGGCCACAAGATTTTGGTTTTTCTCGACCACTGCCTCTCGGCTCCGTCAACCAGAACTTGTTGCTTTCGTATCCACTCACGATCGTGGCACCGAATTGAATCAAAACCATCAGACACGGTGGTTTCATCGACGTCACTACTACAAACAAGGTCTTCTTCGCTCGACGAGTCAGAGTAAGATAAGTCGTTTGCGCTTTGTGGTAGATCTAGATTGTATTGGGTCTGCCCATGATCACTAAAAGATGGCTGTGCTGTATGTGAGAGGGATAATTGACCGTCAGGCCGAATTTCACACGATTGAATTGTTGGAGTGGATTGACCCTGAACTGGAGGCGTTGTACTGACGACAGCAAGCTCCAGGGCGCGGGAACTTACCTCACGAACATCACCATTGTCGAATTTGACTTGATAAGTGTGATGACGACTATTCTTGATGATTTTCTCAACGACGCCTTGTTGATTTTGAAGTTTCGATGATGTACCAGAGACGCCATCTCCAACGTTGAGTTTTGGCATGACTAGTGTGCCGATTCGCAAGGTTGAAACTGCGCTGAAGAGCCACTTTGGTCTATTTTTATAGCATCCAAGCGGTTTCCTTGTTGCACCGTTTCGACTATCTCATGCATCTTAGCGTGCTGTACTATATGTAATACATTTGTACTAAATATAGTTATATATATATATGTAATACATTTGTACTACATATAGTACAGCACGCTAAGATGCATGTAGTACATTTGTACTACATATAGTACATTTGTACTACATATAGTACATCTAGGTGATAAAGGTTGATACAGTGAAAACATTTTATTAATAATAGATATGGGTCAAATATTTAATTAAAATAATTTTTTCCAAAATACTTTGTACGTGCCCGGGACTCGAACCCGGGCCCCTCCCCTCCTCTGCTACAATAGCGCCGTCGCCTAAACCACTCGGCCAGCGTACAAAGCCGTACTTTGGTACCCAATTCATCCCTCTTGTGACAAACCATAAGGCACCACACCCACTTGATAGAAGCCTCTGTAATTGTAATCCCTTCATTTTTAAATAGACGTATTTTGCTACCACACAAAGTGCAATTAGGGTTGGGGAGTTGGCTATTATACAAAGTTCAAAAACTTTTTAATTTTGCTATTGCACATTCTTTGATTGGAGCTGAAGACTCATCTGTACCGACATGAGCAACTCCCTCATCGTAAATTTCGCACATACGACCCGAAACTCATTCGGTGATCGACTATAGACAGCGATCGGTGGTAATCGTCGGATTCGCATGACTTCACGAAGCATGTCGGCGTCTGTCCATGCCGCGAACTGAAGAACTTTCACCATACCGTAGTCCTTTTGGGGGATCGGACAGTCATGTCGGCCGGAAAAGGGTGTTTTTTCCGGATTGGGAAACAACATACAAATTTTAGTATATTTCATTTCTATGTGTTTATAGAGGAAATATTAATTTATACAGAAATTTAAATCCTGAGAGGTATCATCACCACTGCATTTGACAAGTTTACTCAGTACAATGCAGTATATCTTCGAAGTCGTTCGCGCATTCAGTCAAAACGTTGAATCTCGCCATAGACTCAACTACATCATCAAAGTTGTCAGCAATAACGTCAGGAGGCAAGATGTCTTGAGTATCTCCGGTGCAAATTGGGAGCACCAGCTTCGTCTTTTTAAATCCGTTGCGTATGATGCCACTCGCCAGTTCATTCCATGCTTCAACAACCCAAGTCGCCACCATGCTACGACTAGGCGGGTTCAACTTGAATGGAACTCTCTCAGCACACGAGGTAGAATGCACGCGAAGTTGTCGTCGCAAATTATCAACCCACTTCGATCGCATCCGATCTTTTAATGGCTTGTTCCAAGCCACATCGGCTGCTTGACATGCACACGTAAACCTTGGTGGCACTCTCACAAGGATGATGTTGAGGCGGTGGGCCTTCTCTTGAACCGACTGGGTGAAGTGTGCGCTAAAGTCATCCCAAATCAACATTCTTCTTTCTTCCGAGTACTTTTCGCCACCAAAGTGATATTCCAAGAAAGCGATCGACAAGTCTTGGTTCCACCAGGCGGTTTTGTTTCCATAGATTTGGCACAAATGTTCGTCTTGTAAAGCTCGTACTTCCCTCCACACTCGGTCCCCAAAACCATGGCGATGATGTTCATTTTCGATGCGAGTGCGCTCATTTGTTGCGCCTTGTGTTTTGAACACCAGGAACAGTGGGAACTTGTTACCGTGGTTATCCGCTAACAACATGGCTGTAGCACGAGATTTGCTTCCACCTCCACATTTCATCCACACTGTCTTCTGGTTGGTTCCTTTGGGGATGTATTCATAAAAGAGGCTGGTTTGGTCCGCATTGAAGATTGTTGTCACGTTCTCCTCTGTCGCACGCTCCACCACTTCTCGACTAAACATTTCCAACGCTGCAGGGCCGTCTCCAGTTGTATCCTGACCTTGCCGAGTCCTTGCTCTCATGCTGAACCGATGACGAGCCATGAACCCCTGCTGCCAGTCCCATGACGCCAAGAAATGCTCTCTTGGTAGACCAAGTTCCTTCGCAACTTCAAGCGCGTGCAAACGCAACATTTCGGATGAAACCGGCACGCCTTCGTTGCGCAGATCAATCACCCACTTGGCTATGTTGATCTCTATGGCGGGGCTGAGGGTCGTTCCAACGCCAGACTTGTATGGTCGCATCTTGTCGGCAAGGTGTTCGTGCATTCCGTGTTGCTCCAGGACAAATAGTTTCTTCTTCCAGTCATAAATGAGTTAACGTTTCGACTCCCAAGCCACGTCGTTGAGCTCGGGGTAAAACGTTTGACGAGTCATCGTCATGCTCTGAGTCGCGGCAAAGTAGTTGACGACGGCCAACCTTTCGCGGAAAGTCGTGGCTTGATTCTTGAGCTTGTTCTGTCGTCGTCCAATTCCCTTGCGGTTTGGTCTTCCCCTTCTCTTTGGACTGTTTTCATCCATTTCAAGAATGAATGGAGTGTGTGCTTGGCTCAGGCGGGCCTCGGAATGATTTTTCACAATTTTCTAAATTCTCTTTATTTGTATATTTTGACCAATATACATGTAGAGAGGTATAAGGATATGGAGGTTTCCCCATATGTTGTCCGATTTCCCAAACCGTCCGATCCCCCAAAACGACTACGGTATATATAATTCCACAGAAAATTGACCAATCAGTGGTCTCAATGTATTCCACTGAGCTTGTGGCAAAATCAGCGTTTTGTTGAACAAAACTTTGTGCTTTCAGCACGGAATGTGTGTCAAAAGTGATTGTCAAATGACTTTGTGGAATAGCAAAATACGTCTAATTTGTATTGAATTTTAAAATGGGTTGTGACTAAATCCTCTATTTATTATTGTCTTTTGACAAAGTATATTGCAACATTTAAATTTTATACACTAATTTTCTCTGATTGGCTCATATTCGAGCCAATTGGCTCATATTCGAGCCAATCAATTTGGCGAATAGGTCCACTACTCAGCGTCGTTCCCTGTAGTCGCAAAGAACGCTTCAAATTCTTCCACCATGTACTTGGTAACCCCTTAATTTCAATATGTTACGCACTGTAAAAGTTGATGAATGTCCATTTCAGTCAAATTTGATTTTTTGACCAAAAATTGTAATCATTTTCAAATCGATTTGTTCATACTAAAGTCAAGTAAAGTGGCAAATACAATAAATTTGCAAAATTAATTGCATGTGTGTTTGGGTGCTGATTGGCTGCAAGATTTGCTAATCGATTTAAAAAATCAATAGATTTCAAGCCCCCCTCACAATTTAGATTGTATTTGACAATATACTTCCACTGTACTACTCCGTCCGGCATCAATTGTCCACTTTGACTTTGGGATGTCCGCAAAAATCAGAGAAATTTTTTATGAAGCTATGATTGGTTCTAAATGATTGCCTTTACAAAGGAGATTGGATTGCGCAAAGAATTTCGAAGATTTATGTCGAATTGGATGAGATATCCATGTTCAAGAAGTTGACTTGATAAATGTATGCAATTAATAACCACTGCACCCCCGACCTCAAACACAGTTCAGCCTGAGATCGCCTTGTGCATAGCCTTGTCTTAGCCGAAATCAGCAAGACTACATACAAACACACGTACATGATGTATACATCGCATCATGGTGGCGGCATCGACCCAAGTTTTGATGTGGCATCTCTGTGAATACCAAGAGGTGTTGTCACAGGCAAACGTCGACACGACTTTGAGTAATCTACAGAGTTTTCAAACGCATAGTTAGGCAAAATAGATGGTTTTGAGCAAAGTACTCATGCTTCAGACAGAGAGTCGAGAGGATAGACCTGTCGACCCGTGATATGATCGTGTTCACTCTGACGCCGATCCGTCGTCCTGTGAGCACATCACTTTCATCACAAATAGGACTCAAATATCTATCAATTAGATCAAACAGAGTTGATTTTCATCCAATCAAATCTATAGTGGACAAGTTAACCCGGACAAGTCGATTTTCCAAAGTGGACAATTGAAGCCGGACGGAGTAGTATTGGAATACTGTGTGTCTGAGTGACCCCAAAAATTCAATATGTATCCAAAATCGATATTTCAAATCACATTCGAAAGTACATAAAGAAGCCAAATTGGTGGCAAAAATCGACATCGCCTTAACACCAACCGAATAAAAATACAAATTAAGTCTTTTGTAATTCAAATGTGGGGGGCCTTACGTCGAGCCAGGTCACTCATGACGAATCTTACTTGCCCAACGTCGTTGCTCGACCAAGTAGACATGGAAGCGCAATAATACATTTTAGCCAACAAAATTCGGAATTTTTGTATTCGACCAATCACATCAATATGCACACAGTATTTCAAACAAAGTGTGTTTTTGATATGCACACAGTATTCCAATACAGAGGAAGTATGAATTAATGAAATTAGCGAAAATAATCTTAACAGTAAATTGATTATTTCGGAATTTTGTCGATTTATTTCTATTTTCCATCATAATTTTGCATTTTTTTCAAACATGGCGCAACGGGAAGGACGAGAATCGATCCAAGGCATCCTCGTGACATGGTACAACGAGCGCCGGAACTCAATTAAACTAAGTATTCTCTAGTGATCCGCCGACGAAGCAATATCTTCGCTATTTGAATGGAACACCAGGACAGGTACGAGACTTGTTCATTCCTGCATCTGAACCTGCGATCCGTCGGATCTGCGCAGAAGAAGTTTATAATCCAAGACTTGGACGACAACCATCTCTTCATCGACCCAAATCCACACGTGATTGAGTTCATCAACAAGAAGATTGACGAGTGGAACGACAAGAATACATATCAGCCACCAACTAATTAACGCGAAACAAATCTTCGACTGATTTCCAAACAGACCCATACCCTTCTACACGAACTCGCCGCTCGTCCTGGGCATCGGTGTATTCGATGTGCACCTCCAAACGTTCGGCTGGCTTGTCTTGGAGACGATCTGGCCACTCGACGATACTTGTGCCTAAGGCAGAGCGACATAATCGCTCTTTGCTCGCTAGGGGCAATACATACCAGTTGAAAAGACGTCTTCAAGCCCGAGCGCTTGCGCATCTGTTGCCGTGACGCTCTCGAGGCGGTATAAATCCAGGTGATAGAGTGTACTTCTCCTAGACGATGGCCATTAAGGTCGCGGATTTTTCACATTTGAAACATCATACTTTGTGTCGACAGGTGGTTCGTAAGTGTTGATGAGTAGGTATGTCGGAGATGTGACATCGAGTTGTTCATCCTGGCACCACGCGCGTGCAAATCCGCGCGCAAAGCACGTTTTGCCGCAGCCGAGATCTCCGACGAGGAAAAGCACATTTACAGCGCGCTTTGGAACTTGCAGCGCGAGATATGAGCCTAAGCGTTCCATTGCTTCCTCGCCCTTGATCTCGCGGTGGGTCTCTGAGAACAG